GAGCAACACCTTATTCTTTGGAGTTGCTAAGTAACCCCTTTTGTTTTCTCGTGTGTTCTTTTTTTTTTTTTCTTCTGAGAAGCGGATATCAAGTCCTTGTTCTCTGGAGTAGATAGGTAGCTGGGAATCAACTGGTTCTTTTGAATCGGTAAATAAGTTCATTGATTAGAGTGCCGACGATGGTGCTAATGGGTATCGATGCCGTTTTCAGGGCAGCGACACCGGCACTTTTTTCCCTCTCTTATCCTGGCCGGTGATCAGTCTTGGGGATGTAAAAATTTGTACCCAGGGATGATGGTTGCGTTGAGGTTTAATAAATACTATAAGATTGGCAGTTCTGTTCACTAGAGATGCTTAATAAAAATTTCAATAATCTTTAGTAATATTAACTTGACCTTAATAGAATATGCGACTCCGATAAAACTTTATTGTTATTATTATTACTATTATTATCATAACAATTATCATTATTATTGTTATTATTATTATTTAAACAATTTAACATGGATCCATCCCTCACACATAAGATGGAAAGAATACCGACGAAATGTGTACATCACCACACACACACACACACACACACACACACACTAATATCAAACCTTCCAAAACCTTTAAAAAAAAGACATCCCTTAAAGAGAAAAGAAAAAAAAATGGAGAACATTATCCAATAAAAAAAAAAAAAAACACGAAATCCGAAAAGGGCGCACTTACCTTCTGGTTATGGTAGAAAGGATCGATGTCCTCGAGGGGCGTGCCCACCAAGTCCTCGGGGAACTGCTGTATGAGGCGGTTCGGAACGGGCATCCCCTGTTCCAAGTTAGGATCTGCCTGTGGTCCTTCATCGTCGTCATCGTCATTATAGACAGCCTGAGTGTGGTCGCGGGTAAAGAGGTTAGTTACGGGTGGAAGTGGCGGGGAACCTCATGGGGGGGGGGGGGGAATTGTGCTATAAGCTGCTTTTATTTTATTTTTTTCCCTCCTCCCCCAATTTTTTTTTCTTCTTATCTCCCCCTCTCTCTCTCCCACTTTTTTTTTACCCTCTCTCTTTCTCTTTCCCTCTCATTATTCCTTTTTCCTACTCCCTCTTCTCTTTCTCTCTACCTGATGCTAGCTAAGTCCTTTACCCGCTTTCTCCTCACTTAAGCATTATTAATTCTTTATCATTATCATAATGTGCTTTGTAACTATGAGCGATCTGCGAAAATAAAATTGGTTTTGTGTCATCATTTTTTTTTTCATTATCTTCTCACTAGCAAATGACATGCGGAAGTAATCAATATTCAAGACTCAGAATCTTTGAAGGATGACCATCTAAACTTATGCATATGGAAAAAAAGATCTTACAAGTTCACTAGATCTCACCAATTCATGAACCTTAAGCATTGAGGCTTCTGGTGTTGATTGAGGCAAACACGCGCGGAAAGAACACACACACACACACACACACACACACACACACACACACACACACACACACACACACACACACACACACACACACACACACACACACACACACACACACACACACACACACACACACACACACACACACACACACACACACACACACACACACACACACACACACACACACACACACACACACACACACACACACACACACACACACACACACACACACACACACACACACACACACACACACACACACACACACACACACACACACACACACACACACACACACACACACACACACACACACACACACACACACACACACACACACACACACACACACACACACACACACACACACACACACACACACACACACACACACACACACACACACACACACACACACACACACACACACACACACACACACACACACACACACACACACACACACACACACACACACACACACACACACACACACACACACACACACACACACACACACACACACACACACACACACACACACACACACACACACACACACACACACACACACACACACACACACACACACACACACACACACACACACACACACACACACACACACACACACACACACACACACACACACACACACACACACACACACACACACACACACACACACACACACACACACACACACACACACACACACACACACACACACACACACACACACACACACACACACACACACACACACACACACACACACACACACACACACACACACACACACACACACACACACACACACACACACACACACACACACACACACACACACACACACACACACACACACACACACACACACACACACACACACACACACACACACACACACACACACACACACACACACACACACACACACACACACACACACACACACACACACACACACACACACACACACACACACACACACACACACACACACACACACACACACACACACACACACACACACACACACACACACACACACACACACACACACACACACACACACACACACACACACACACACACACACACACACACACACACACACACACACACACACACACACACACACACACACACACACACACACACACACACACACACACACACACACACACACACACACACACACACACACACACACACACACACACACACACACACACACACACACACACACACACACACACACACACACACACACACACACACACACACACACACACACACACACACACACACACACACACACACACACACACACACACACACACACACACACACACACACACACACACACACACACACACACACACACACACACACACACACACACACACACACACACACACACACACACACACACACACACACACACACACACACACACACACACACACACACACACACACACACACACACACACACACACACACACACACATTCTGAACTCTAAGAGATGTTATTCTGTGAGTCTTTGCTGCGTACTGCTCTCCCTACACCTCTTAGCCGCCCTAAATAGGTTATTCTCATTGTAATTATACATTTCAGAGTACAGAACAACAGCCTAGGAAGATTAGATCCTTGCGCGGGCACCAAGATCCGGGACAATTAACAGACATACATCATTCTGTGTGAGTTAATCCCTCTTTATCTCTCTCATCCCTTTCTCTTTCCCTTCTCACTCCCCTCCTTCCCTCCCTCCTGCCCTTCCCCTCCCTCTCCTCCTTCCCTTCCTACTATCTCCCCTTCATCATCACATATTGGTCAGTCCTTATTATTCCCTGCGTTCTTTACCCCTCCCCCCCTCCCCTCCTATCCTTTCACTCCCTCTCCTTCTGCTAACGTTCTCCCCTTTGGGTTTAGTACCCCTGTCCCTCGGGTATGTCCAGTCCCCTCTCCTCTCCTATTTGTCTTCCCTTCTCCTCTTTCCCATCTCCCCTACTCTCTTTTCCTCTCTCCCCTCTCCCCCCTCTTGGAAGAAAATACCAGAATAACTCCCTCTTTGCTTCCCTCTCTGCAATCCCGTTGGAGGAACCGTCGAGCAAAGTCAGCGACGCCTAGACAGCTGAGTCTTTCTGACTGTCTTCGGCCCAGAGGCTGCCTTTGGGATATCACACGTTCCTTGGAGCCCTGCGTTTTTTGTCTTTTGTTAAGTTTTTGTGTTTGAGATAGGGTGTGTGTGTGTGTGTGTGTGTGTGTGTGTGTGTGTGTGTGTGTGTGTGTGTGTGTGTGTGTGTGTGTGTGTGTGTGTTCGTGTGTGTCCAAGGGCAGTTCTCATCCTGGCCGCAGTGAGGCGTTGTTATCGCACCAGGAAATATAAAACCCGCTGTGGAGGCGCTCAGGCCGCTAAGGAAATGTAATTTCCTCGCCGGGGCGCAACTTGCTGACCATCTGCCTCGGCTATCCCTCTCTGCTCATTCTTGTATTTTCCCCGTTATCACTCTCTCCCTTCCCTCACTGAACACCTATCCTAATTATGCCGTTTTCTATCTCTTGTTTATTGTTTGATTCCCTCTCTCCGGCTCTTGAAACTCGTAAATAGCTCTATCTTTATATTTATCTATCTTTATCCCCTTCAAATCTAAATATCGTATATTGATCATGGCTAACATCCCCCTTCTTAAAAAAACAGACAAAAAAAAAAAAAAACGGAAATACCAGTCCAAAAAGGCTACTTCCCGTTACTATTAACTTCACTTCCCGGTACAGATGTCGATAGGCCCCTTCCAATTCCGCTGTGCTGACGTCACACATATTGATGGAGATCGAGTATGGTCCTTCTTTATAGGGGACGTAAGGATCAATATCGCCTGCATCGCATGGCTGTTGTTAATGTGCCGTAACCTTGGCGTCAAACCTTCCTGGTCTGTTGTCATGTATAATGAAAATATATCTTTATGACCTACATAAACCTTATATATAAATCCAATGAAGTTTCTCTACACGGAGATCCTATATATCCCTACAAATAAGAACTATATACTTAGAAGTATACTCTTATCAGTATATATAATATATAATGTTTACAGCCATTACAACTACTCTATTTTCACATTCTTTGACAAGAGGCATTAAGATACCTTTACCTTAATTCTACTCTATGTATATTAAAGATGAATCACTAAGTTCTTCATCCCAATATTTCTACTCAAAGGGCTAATTATCTACAGGAGTTTCAGGCAATACCCTGTATTTGAGTCAATTATATAACTTTTTTTTTTAATCTAACTTTCAAAATTCTCACTAATTGACTAAATCTATTTGACTAACCCGGGTTCTAACTAATTAGATACAATGCCCTGGTTCTAATAACTTTTTCTATTCCGGGCTCATAGTACACAAAAAAAGTTCCTTGCTATTTCAAACTATCCCGGAACCAATAGTCTTAGCTAACCATTCCGGGTCTACTAACCATACTAGCTAACTTTTACCAGGTATTCAAGGTAATTTCCACGCACCGTCACCTCCTACAACTCACAGGACACTTTGACGACGGCGAGTGAGCTCTACATTCGACGCCATGTCAACTAAATCACTTTTAATGTGACCAGTTTTAAGGAAGAATAAACAGGGGAAGAAGGAGGCAGGAGAGGAACTGGCTCCTCCTCCTCCCTCCTTCGTCTTCCTACGGACGATAATCGCAAAGGTCCGTCATGTGGTTCTGATTGGTATCACCACATATTTCTACACACTACCACAGCCTGCACCCGTATGGGGACGCGAAGGCCAAAGCTGAGGAGACTTACCGCCCCCGCCCGTGGAAAAAAAATCACCCAGGATGACTTGTGTCCGGTCGAGCTCCCCTTTCTGTTGGGTAGTTCTCCTGAACACTTTTTTTTATAATGAAGAAGAAAACAAACTCTCTAAAAGGCCATAACATAAAGAGATGGTAGCAAAGGTGACTCTCAAGAGAACAAGTCCTACCAAGGCGCGATGGACCGTCAGACCACTCGCGAGGGTGCGTCTGGACCGGGTCCGACTAGCATGGCGTGACAGGCGTCCAGACCAAAGGTCCTAGTGTTTGTACACGCAAAATTGGTCCGGGTGATGGAAGGCCTCGACTCCCGCGTGCCGTCCAGTCACAGGACCTCTACGCACCCGTCAGTCCCAAGCATCATCGCTGCCACTTAGAAATTCAGACAATGCGGTGGATGGATTGATGACGTGACGGACGCAAACCCATGCAACATGACAGATTACTCTCGTCGCGTCACTGCGTCACTGCGTCATGTCACACGCTCACCAACCCTGATGTCACGTTGATGTCCTGAGTGCCTGAAATGCCTCACGGGCAAGGCTGTGATGCTTGGAATGACTCGCTGACATCGCAGGGGACCTGAGATGACGACGACACGCGCCGAGCCTCCGCCAGGAAGATA